AACATCTCCCATCAACTGCACATAGTAAGCAAAGACCGATTCAAGCAATGCGGAGGTGGGCATTGTTGGTCCTCTCTTGTGTGACCAAGGAGACTCCAGTGAATCCAGGGAGTCAGAGGGGCTGAGTAACATCCACCTCTGTTTTAGTCGCCGCTCCTCTGTCTACAGCACAACGCAACAAGCACTTTTGAAACTCTTATCAGCCTCTACCAACATCTGTACTGGTGCAGTCATCGGGAGGACAAACCCTTCATGCAAACTCGGCCCACCTCCACATGACACAGTATAGAATACACCCACTGAACTGCATTGCTGGGGTGCAGATATACTAACCCAGCTGGTGACCTTGTTAAGAAGAAGATAAGGAAGGCAGGCGGGAAAGGAGTTCCTGCAACCTTTTTGTCTGGCAGGCAAGACTCAGGGAAGTTATTGTTATAAGGTAAGCCTGAGTCTTTCTTCACTTCTCCATGGGTCTAGGCCGGAACTGTTAACAGCAGTTTCCTCGTGGTTGACTGAAGGGCTCCTAGGGTGAATCAGTGGCACCCCCCTTTAGTGTTGGAAGCAAAGACCTGCGGTGGTGGGCATTGCTGGTCCTCTCCTGTGGGACCAAGGAGACTCCGGTGAATCCCGGGAATCGGATGGGGCTGAGTATTCTGCCTTCTGGGCCCCTAGCAGTTGATTGCTAGCAGAGCCCCAGCCCCCCCCCCCCCCCCCCCCCCCCCCCCCCCCGTGACAAAAACTGGCGACCTTGCCAGGATTGGAACCACGGTAGCCAAGAACTGGCAACTTCGCCAGGATGCGTGGATCAGGCTACAGTGTTGCCATGGTATGTTAATCAAGCTACAGTATTGCCCAAAATTCAAGACAGTGTCGCCAGGGTACTAATACAGTGTGGCCAGTGAATTCAGTGATACTGTTACCCAACCAGCTAAGGGACTGAAACGGTGAAATTAGTACCTACTAACTTGTCTGTGCTGTCGTGTATGCTCGATGATATAGAGATGGAGGAGGATAAAGTAAAGAAATTTATTGAGACAAGGGATGAGAGATTTTTGGAAGAGTGTACCAAGGCCCAGCTCCAACAAGTGGCAAACCACTTTGGGGTCAAGTTGAGGACGACTAAGGTAGCGAAGCGAAGGATAGAGATCATGGCACAGCTCACAGCTCGAGAGGAGGCGACGGGATAGGAGCCATCTCAAGAAAGGCCGTCTCAAAGAGAGCTGTCCCAAGGTGAACCGTCCCGACTAAAGCCACCCCAAGTGCCTAAACAGTGTGGAGAGAATTCACAGTGAACGTGGGAGCAGTGGAAGGTCCAGCTGTAGTAAGAGGAGCCTGCAACTGGAAATAATGAAGATGCAACTGGAAGCCCAGCTGCGACGATAGGAAAGAGAAGCGCAAATGCAGCGAGAGGAGTGTGAGCGAGAAGCACGGCTGCAGCGAGAGGAACGTGCAGCTCAGCTGCAGCGAGAGGAACGTGAAGCTCGGCTGCGGCAAGAAGAAGGAGTGAGACAACTGCGACTGGAGGAGATAAAGGCAAAGAAAGAAGTTGAATTGCGTCACGTTGATCGTGGGCTGCCCTCACTACCTGCACTGTGGGAATACCTCAAGGTAAGGGAACGTGACTTACCTACGTTCGAACCTCAAGAAGCTGAGGCGTTCTTCGAACACTTCGAATGGATAGCGACTCTGAAGGAGTGGCCGGAAGATGATTGGGCTGCTCTGGTCCAGGGCAGGTTGACCGGTGAGGCCCAGGAAGCCTGCAACATGCTGGACCTAGAGGAGTGTGCTAGTTACGACGCGATTAAGAATGAGGTGCTCCACTCATTCCAGCTGACTCCGGAGATGTACCGGAAGCAGTTCAGAGAGTGTACGAGAGCGTCGGGAAAGTCTTACGCCTAGACCTCCAGGGATATGGAACGGAAATTCCTACGATGGTTGAAAGCCATCGACAACAACATCTCTTTCTAGGCGTTTAACGATGCATAAACAACAGGGCTCCATTAAGGAACATATAATCTCTTCCCACAACCAAACCATCGCCAGAGAAATCCTAGTAAACAACACAGAAATCATCGATAGATACAGCGATAGCAGGCGGCTTGACGTTTGCGAGGCACTACACATTAAGAAGTCAACACCAGCAATCAACAGCCAATTAATGCACAACTATATTCTACCCACCTCAAGACTCCGCTCCAATATAGAAGCATCAAGAAATATGGACCAATAGGCTTTCTTCAATCACTTCCATTTCAATACCCATTGTTTCGTGTTCTGTCTTGTGTTGATGAAATTAATACCCTATTAATGCCACCTCTTGTTCTGTCTTGTGTTGATGAAATTAATACCCTATTAATGCCACCTCACCCCATCCACCTCACTCAAATGTAGATATAAACAAAAATCGGAGATGTGTAAGTTCTATTCAGTTGTGTATTTGTAAACTAAAGTCTTTGAAAATGTAATAAGTTTTACGAAACGCGCTCGTGTCGCGTCAGACTAGAAATAAAAATGAATTTTGAAGAATTGATTTTTGAATTACCTCCAACAGTGAAAAGAAATGTACGAAAGATTTAGAAAATTCGTGTTAGAATTATTAATCTTACTTTTTCGGTCATATTTAATAATATTTGTCTACAAGAAAGACTGCTACCAAAATATACTTATATATATATATATATATATATATATATATATATATATATATATATATATATATATATATATATATATATATATATATATATATATATATATGTCGTACCTAGTAGCCAGAACGCACTTCTCGGCCTACTATGCAAGGCCCGATTTGCCTAATAAGCCAAGTTTTCCTGAATTAATATATTTTCTCTAATTTTTTTCGTATGAAATGATAAAGCTACCCATTTCATTACGTATGAGGTCAATTTTTTTTATTGGAGTTAAAATCCTCGACCAGTGCAACAGGTGAATTAGTTAAGGAAATACTACCGGAACACCTAAGAGACTTCATTGGGATTCATGATCCCAAATTCGCGGAAGGAGCCGGTCAGTGGGACACTCTTGTCAAATCTCATCCTCGACCGACTTTTCCAAATGACTGCAAACAGTCCAAATGGGATAGCCCCATAGTGGAGAACATCGCCACATCATTGCTGGAGGCAGCTTCCAGGAAGGACAAAGCGCGTCTTCTAGCTGTGCAAGCTCCCCATGCCGGGGACTTCCTGTTGGCAGTCCCTAATTCCGCCTTGGGCACCCGCCTGGACCATCGGACCCTAAGTATTGGTGTTGCTCTGCGCCTTGCCGCCCCTATCTCCACCGAGCACCGGTGTATTTGCGGCCATGCACGGGCAGACCAATACGGCAGCCATGGTCTCATCTGTCGTAAGACACAGGGAAAGATTGCCAGACATGAAGCAGTCAATGACATCATCAAGAGAAGTTTGGCTTCAGCTGGGTGCCCAGCACAAAGGGAACCTCAGTTGTGCAGGCCTGACAACAGCCAAAAACGCCCAGATGGAGTCACCCTGCAGCCGTGGAGGGAAGGTAAACAGGTCGTGTGGGACTACACGTGTGCATCCACATTGGCTGATACCTATCTACCTTACAGCGCAGCTGAGGGAGGCGGGGCGGCCACCTTCAGGGAGACCCAGAAAACTAACAAGTACAGGGACCTAGAACGTTGTTACAGGTTCGTGCCAATAGGCTCTGAGACTCTGGGCGCCTGGGGTAAATGTGCACTTAAGTTCCTGAAGGAGCTGGGCGAGGAACTCATTGGGAAGACTAGAGACCCAAGAGCGGGCAGTTTTATGTTCCAGCGCCTCAGTGTCGCTGTTCAGAGGGGAAATGCGTGCTGTATCGTGGGTACGCACCCGACCCCCGAGGAACTGGACGAGGTCTTCGAACACTGATTGGTATATTGTTATATTGTTATATAAGTGTGTGTTTTCTGTAAACTGTAACACTGCAATAAAATCAAATAAAAAAAAAATAATAGGGGTGGTAGGAGAGGAAAAGATTAAAGTATTCAGTGAGAATCCGCAAGGTCTTTTCTGAACACTATTTATTTTCTTCTTCGAGGATGTGGGTCCCTTTAATTAAACCAGTGGTGGTACCCCTATATATATATATATATATATATATATATATATATATATATATATATATATATATATATATATATATATATATATATATTTATATATATATATATATATATATATATATATATATATATATATATATATATATATATATATATATATTTATATTATATATATATATATATATATATATATATATATATATATATATATATATATATATATATATATATATATATATATATATATATATGTGCATTCTGGGGAGGGTCTACTGGGGGTACTTGTGGAGGTTGCATCCTGGGGATGGGCTAATAGGGGGTATTTGAGGAGGCTGCATCCTGGGGAGGGTCAATAGTTCGACCTTGTGGTGGGTGGGGGGGGGTGAACCTCGATATATACGTAACATGTATATATATACTTTGGCTGCCTTCTCCCGACACAATAGTTATAAATTATTAAAAAAAAACCAGCCAATATTCAAAACACACAGCATGTTACAACCAAGATATACAAATCAAAGGGCATTCATTAACTAAAGAATATAATGCAGGCCTCTCTGTTAATTTTCGTAAATTATTCAAGCTTAAAAATTGCTGATGCTACATATAAGTTACTGAGCAATTCAACTGTTACTTACTACGCATGTAAATTATTGTTTCTATGCTGCAAGGCAAATTTCCATAGCAGGGTATGCAAAAATACTGGCCTACTCTAAAACATATTTAAAATATCCTACATTCAGCATCTTAGTTCAACCTAATTAACATACTACAGCAATTAATGTATGCGAGTCAACGGTATACAAAATAACATTGGAAATAAGCTTGGCTTGCCACTGGGAAGAAAATGCGATTATGACGAGGATGCTTTTTCGTTCATAAGTGAATGTGCAAGAAAGAAGACTTAAGAACTCACCAAAAGTAGATGAGGTAGTAGAAGACAGGTATGGTGAAGGCGACTAGCATCCACCTCCAGGGTCGCACCAGATAAGCTACTCCTGGCACCATCATGTATCCCACAGCCCAAGGAAGAAGGAAGAACGAGGCCACATAATTCCGCTGTCGTGGCGTGCATAATTCCATAGCTGAAAAGAATATCGAGTGGGTGTTTTTTATCTGACCTTCAGAAGAGTTCCATGACTGTTTGGAATTCAACTAATTATTTTCGTTATTAAATTAGATATTTTGAAAAGTAAGTGTGTGTTATTAAATTAGATATTTTGAAAAGTAAGTGTGTGTATTTATTTTATTTCTGTAACAAAAATAATTGTTACTCTGATCACAATGAAATCACAATGGTGTGTTGTATCAATGAAAATCATTTTGAGGCAATGGAGTGACTTTAACCGGCGTTCTAGTGATTCCCCCACACCTACCTTAATCAACTTGGTTATGATGGGACAAAACCTACCCAACTCAGAGTTCTACTGAATTTACTAGGAGGTTCTAGACGCCCCGAACTGGAGCGCAACCAGGATTTTACTGTGGCCACGCCCACACTCTGACCTGCAGGTATACATATACCTGCAATACTCACACTCACACTGGTAATGATCCTCACACTGCCATCTGGCGCACTTTGGGCAGAAGCTGCCCACAACACGGAGGCTGCCGATGGGGGTTCCGGTGAAGCCCACCCCTAAGGCGCGACACTTAAGAGACGCGGGGTGGTGGGAGGGTTTTTATTGGTAGTGCAAGATGTACGCCGAATGGGAAGTGGCAACAAGACTAAGACTAAATGCAGGACAGGAATGTCCCGAAGTGCGAGCATGAAAATGGGTATAGAAGAAGAATAAGTGTAGGGAGAGGAAGAGTAGTAAGGAGGTGAAAAAGTACCAGGGCTTAACCTCGCTGCGTGTCGATTGTCGCGGTTTCCTGAAGCAAGTACTCACAAAGGGTATTTTTTGGTGACAAAAACAGGAATATCATCAGTCTTGCATCATCGCAGCTCAAAAGCATCAGGGCTGAGTTGACGGATTTTAAAGGTGTTGATTATAGAAAGTTTTATCTGTATACAGGATCAGTTGGAGGATCGTGTAGAGAGATGAGGAGATCATGTGTGTTACGTGGACATCTGAAAATATTAGTGTGGAGATCAGTGTGATGTTCATGACAGGTGAGGAGTCTGTCAATTTGTTTGTCAAGGAGATTTTTCCAATAGTCATTTAGGGCTAGAATGTTTGTTCTTTCATGAAGACTTTCACTAGTGTGGAAATCTTGCTGGTAAATATTATGTATCCATCTAAGTGTTCTGTTTTGGATCCTCTGGAGTTTTAGTTGATTTGTAGGTGCAAGGGTGAACTATCAGGGGAAAGCGCCAAGCTATTACGACAAATAGCACTGGGAAGGAGTCAGGATAAGGAGTTGGGATGGGACGGTGAGGGTCTAATGAGTGCTTTGTTGAGGTGCGATTTAGTGTCTGGTTTGGCATACTTTAGTCTGTACAATTTGTCAAGAAGGTACGAGCGTCATGCTCATTACATCCAGTTAGCACACTCAGTGTGAGAGAATAGATCAGATCAGCTGTCTTAATGAATATACGATGAATGTACCCCAACAGTTGAGACTCTCACGAGTGCACGAAATGTGTGCACTATCTTGAGGTTATCTTGAGATGATTTCGGGGCTTAGCGTCCCCGCGGCCCGGTCCTCGACTAGGCCTCCTTTTTGTTACACATGTTCTGGAAGCAGCTCGTAGCAGCTGTCTAACTCCCAGGTTGCTATTTACTGCTAGGTAAACAGGGGGCATGAGAGTGAAAGCAACTCTGCCCATTTGTTTCCGCCTCCATCGGGGATCGAACCCGGAACCTCAGGACTACGAATCCGAAGCGCTGTCCCCTCAGAGGTCAGGCCCCATTTGCACCTCACTAAGTCGAGTATCGTTAATACAAAACTCAGCTATGCCTTGTTGCGTATACTTAGATAGCTCATGTCAACAAGATACTATTGCTAGCACGAAGGCCGTCGTATTATTCACCAATTAGCTATTACAGCAAGAAGTATGTATAGTCAACAACCAGTCCTCTTAAAAATAACGTCGCTCTTTGCTCGTATGCGCGCTATGGCCAAAAATGGACGTAATTTTAAATGAAATCGGCTCACGAAAGTGATGTACTGTCCCGTTTTGTGTTTGAGTCCTCTAGCTTACTCGGAAAGGTTAGGAGAGGAAACATTCAATTAACATTTTTCATGACATTTTGAAACTTAGGGAGAATCTCCTGTCCACCTAACCTACCAGAGGACCCTTAACTTACTGTTTTGGAAAAAAATCCAAATTATATTTTAAATTTTTTTCATTTTTAAATTACGTCCATTTTCGGCCATATGGGCAAACGGCCAATTCAGCCGTAATTTGTAAGAGGACAGGTACCAAAATCCGAGTCAGATGGTTCTATGGGAGTGTCACGCCAGGTGAGGGTCACGGATACAACCGACCCTTGTCTCGACTAGGCCTCTCCCGTAAAGTAGTCATGACGTCACGGCATCTCAAACTCCGGAGGGGACTGCCCTGATTGGATAAGCATCAGTGCCTGGTGCTTGATTGGCTGATTTTGAGTATCTAGGAGAAGTGTGGAAGGAGGGCCAAGGAAAGACCCTAGACCACGCTGCCTCCTCATTCTGTCTGAGTCGCCAGCCTGTCAAGACGTGAAATTTCTAAGCTGCCGGCCACAGCCAAGAACTCTGTCTACGCCACGTTAATCAGTATCTCGTCATCCAGCATATTCCATTTAGCATGTTTCGCTGTAGAATCCGGTTCGCGGTAGTTGGAAAGTTATGAGAAACGAGTAATAAGAGAAAGAAAGAGAAGTGCTCACCACTTAATCACCGTAGAAGCAATGTGACTGCCGAAGTGTTACAATCTATGATTATCGTCATCATCTATGGAAATACTGCCACAAAAGTAATTTAGAGTGGATAGCATTTGATTCCCTATTGTTGCTGTTAATTTCTCTAAGGGATATAACTGTATTTTTGACTATTTTGTGGATTTAGTGTTTTCCCACCAACACCGTGCCGCCTACCGTGAGTGCCTACCCTGAAGGTCCAGTGCTCACCCTCACCACCCCTGTGTTTAGCTGTCGCCAAGCTACGCACAACTACGGTGCACCTGATTTATCAGCCGCACCTGCCACTTAGTGCACCCTACGTGTGACTCGCATGTTAACCACGTGCAGTCCTTGCTTGAGTATCTACTCCTGCCACATGTGTGTTATTGTTACTCGCACGTTACCACGTGTGGTCACAGCTTGAGTTGTTGCACCAGCCACCCTGTATCAACTTTTGTTACTCGCGCGTTACCACGCACGGATATTGCTGGAGTATTTCATCGGAGCATCTACACTCCAACATTGTATGTGTGCAAGGTGTGTGACTGGCTGGTCTTTAATGTGAGTACAAATTTCTCTCTTTGTTAAATAGTTTTCCTTGTGTTGATCTAGGATCAACCGTCCGACCTGATATTATCACCTGTAACAGGTGTGAGTAAACCAGTCAAGGAGACAATAAGGAAGTTGTCACTGCAGCTGTCTGCGTGACCCTGTATACATCACTGTCTTGGGTAAAAGCGTTACACCCAGCCACACATTTAGTATTTATTATACATGTGTGCCTTTAATTGAACGGTGTTATTAGTATCAATTCATTCATATTGATTTCCGAGTTTATGTGATACCTTGTATGATTTATTCTTTCCATACACCAGTGGAAGAGTAAGTCATTGAGAGTTGTGTCAAGGTGACACCTATTATTATCTTGTGACTCATTTGATAAGTGTGTTGTGTTATATCGCAGTGTTGTACTTGTGTGTTACAGTACAGTGTTGAGTATAATTATTTATCTTAGTTTACTCTGTTGGTGACGAAAGTTTAAAGTAAAGAGTTACTGTTTTGATTTGTTACTGTCAGTGTGACTGTGCGTTAAGTAATTACTCATTGATTGATACTGTCGGAGTGTCAGAGTATTAACGTAATTAATTAATGGCTTATTTGATTTGACGGCAGTCCAAGGGACAAGTATTAACGTAATTAGTTAATTAACCGAAGATTGTCGTAGTGACAAGTCTTGCATTGTTTTGATGATGTTGTTGTTTGTATTACATTATTGTTGATTGCCACTGCAGGAGTTTAGTTTGCTATCGAAACACGATATCAAATAAACAACAGAAACTTGAAAGACAATTGAGCACAAGCTCAAGAAATTCGAAAAAAACAATATCTTCACCTTCAAGAACGCAGGGCAGGAGACACTCTCCTGAAAAACAGGTAGAGTCCAGTACTCCTGAACGACTTTGATGAGCCAGTTTCAAGTTCACCAAGATCCTCAACTACAACTTCAACTTCCATTGCGAGTTCATCTGACTCCATGTATGTCACGGTATTATCAACAAGTTCCAACAACCTATAGGACTAAGATCCTGCAATGGAATGAACAAGGGCTGCGCACAAAATTGCAACACTTGTAATGCATAGCAGCAACTACTGGCATAGACATCCTGATACTACATGAGAGCTTGCTTCGAGACGAATTAGAGCCTAAAATTTCAAGCTATCGAGGCTTCTTCCTTCCATGGGTCCACGGGCAATCAAGGGGATGTGTCATCTTTGTGAAATGTGACTTGATCTTCAAGCCCATAACCAGCCCCCCCCCCCCACGATTGTGGGCCGGGGACAGAGATGATGGGACTATCCATTGAACTAAGACGCGACAAACTTGAAGTGTTTAATGTTTACAGGTCTCCGTGTGCTGAAATGGATCTTTCAATGTTATTTGGACATGCAACCACCTCAAACACAATAGTTTGTGGTGATATCAATGACCATCATCGTTTGGCACTTGCCTCGAGCACAACAATGGAACAAGAATGAACCCACTCACTTCCAAGGAGGTAGACTAGACCTTACCTTCATTTCAGCCTCCCTCGGAGATCCATCAACAAGGTCAGTCCAGCCCACACTCACAAGTGTGAGTGTGGGCTGGGGTCCAAATTGATTTAAAGTTTGGTGGGTTCATTCATAAAGACATTCCTGGATCTCGAGAAAGCCTTTGAACTGCCTAGCGCCCCAGTTATTCTCTGCTGCCTCATCGA